AGCTCATGAGCAATTTATACTGGGAAAGGTCACTATAATGCAGCAGAATATCAATTTCTATCATTGTGCTGTTTATGGTAAGCATACAGTGCAAGATAGGAAGAATATATGGGAGGAGTTGTTGAAGTTTGTGTTAGTATAAGGAGTCCTTGTCTCGTAATGGGTGATTTAGTACCATCCTAACCAGTGAAGATAGATTTAATGGCAGCCCTGTGCAAGAGGTGGAGACAAGGGAATTCAAACAATTCTTATTGGATGCTAAAGTAGATGAATTGAAAACTGTGGGAAGACAATATACATGAACTAATAACCATGTACATAGCAGGATTGACAAAATTTTGGTGAATGCTGAATGGATACAAAAGTGGCCTAACATGGAGGGGATGTCTATGAATCCTGGATTCTCAGATCACTGCCCTTTAAATATGAGTTTTGATACCAGCAACCAAGCACGTGGGAAACCTTTCAAATTCCTTAACTGCCTGGCAAGTTTGAATTCTTTTGAAGAGACAGTTCAACTCAATTGGAGACCCATAAATGGTAGACATACAATGCTAGCAGTGTGGAGCAAACTTAAGAAGCTGAAAGTGGCACTGAAGCAGATGAATAAGGAAGAGTTCAGTGAAATTGATAACAAGATACAAGATGCTAGAGGGAGATTAGAAAATTTGCAAAGCCAAATGAGTATCCCAGGCCAAGATGTAGAGCGTGTTGAATTGGAAAGAGCTACAAAATTGGAGCTGGAAAAATGGTTAATGGTGGATGAGAGCAATATGAAACAAAAGTCTGGGATACATTGGCTTAATCTTGGAGATTCTAACACAACATTCTACCATGCTTGCATGAAAAATAGACAAGCAAGGAACAATATTGGCAGGTTAATTAATAGCAATGTGAATCTATTACAGAATCCAGATGAGGTGGAGGCAGAGATCCTGAGTTTCTAAAGGGGGTTACTTGGTACTGCAACAACACAGCTACTAGTGATCAATTCTAAGATTATGCAGAATGGTTATGTGCTGAGCAGGAGCCAACACTACAGTTAATCAGACCTGTTAGCAGAGAAGAAGTGAAGCAAGCTCTAATGGGCATTGATGATAACAAGGCACCAGGGTGTGATGGGTATAATTCCTATTTCTTTAAGAAGACATGACACATTGTGGGAGAGGAAGTTACTGCAGCAGTTCAAGAGTTTTTTGAGAGTGCAGATATGTGTAAAGCTATTAACTGCACAACCATCACATTGATACCAAAAGTTCAGAATCCAACAAACATAAGAGACTTTAGACCTATTTCCTGTTGCACAGTTTTATATAAGCTCATCTCAAAAGTGATCACTACAAGAATGCAAGGGGTGATGGAAGATTTGGTGGATAATTGCCAAGCTGCTTTTGTACCTGGAAGACTGATCACAAATAATATACTTATGAGTCATGAATTGGTGAAAGGTTATGGAAGAAAGAATATATCTCCAAGATGTATGCTTAAAATAGACATGCAGAAAGCCTATGATTCTGTGGAGTGGCTGTACATAGAACAAGTGCTAAGGTTACTGAATTTTCCTGAAGTATTTGTGAGGTGGATAATGGCTTGTATTAGAAGAGTAACCTATTCAGTTCTAATTAATGGTAGACCAACTGCACCTTTTGAGGCAAGGAAGGGGTTAAGGCAGGGAGACCCACTTTCACCCTTCCTATTTGTTTTGGCTATGGAGTATTTGAGCAGATCCTTGAAGACACTGAAGGGAGATAAGAAGTTTAGATTCCACCTAAGGTGTGCCAGGTTTAACTTAGTGCAGCTGGGATTTGCAGATGACTTACTACTATTCTGTAGAGGAGATGTACAATCTGTACAGATCCTGCACCAGCATTTCCAGCAATTGTCTACAACATCAGGACTGATTGCCAATCCAAATAAAAGCTGCATTTATTTTGGAGGAGTGAACCAGTTGACTCAGCAACAAATTATGGAGGTACTTGGTTATACAAAGGGAGAATTGCCTTTCAGATATTTTGGGGTGCCTTTGAGTACTAAGAGATTGTCTACTATACAATGTGTGCCCCTAATAGAGAAGATGTTGAACAGGATCCAGAGCTGGACTACAAGGTTCTTGTCGTATGCAGGTAGAGCAGTACCGGTGAAGAGTGTGCTGTTGCTATACAAACTTTTTGGGCACAGATCTTTATGTTGCCTAAGAAAGTTATACAGTTCATAGAAACTATCTGTAGAAGGTTTCTTTGGACAGGTAATGCTAAACCAACTAAAAAGGCTTTGATAGCCTGAGAGAAACTATGCTCACCTAAGGTTGCAGGGGGATTGAATTTCATTGATGTGGCATTGTGGAATGAAGTTGCTATCTGCAAATTGCTATGGAGTATCTGTACTAGGAAGGAGAAGCTATGGATGCACTGGGTACACACTTACTATATCAAGGGTCATACAGTATGGAGTACAGAACCAAAGAGTGCTTCCTGGGCAATCCAAAAGATATTTTAGGCTAAGGAGTACTTTGCTAAGGCAGGACTGAATGAAGAAGATGTTCAGAGGATGGTGAAGTGTCTAACTAACAAATATACAGATCCTTACAAGGAGAATTTCAAAAAGTGTCATGGAGGAAGTTAGTGTGCAATAACCAAGGGCAGCCCAAGTGGATATTCATTTTGAGATTGGCAATTCAACAGAGGCTAGCAACCAAAGAGAGACTGGCAAGATGGGGTGTAGTTACAGATCAAACATGCTCCTTATGCAACAAAGAAAATGAGACAGTGCAACTTATGTTCTTCAAGTGTGAGATAACAGGGAAGATCTGGAATGATTTATTGAGATGGCAAGGAATACAAAGAACACAGCATGCATGGCAGGAAGAGATTACATGGCTGGCAAAGGGACCAAAGGAAAGAGTGCAAGGGCAGAAATATGCAGAATGACACTAGCAGCTGCTGTTTATCATTGTTGGCAAGAGAGGAACATTGTGATTTTCCAGAAGAAGAGAAGGACAGACACTACTTTACTTCATCTTATTATTCAGGAAGTCCACATAAGGGCAGCTAAATTCCTTTTCTAGATAGAGCAATTGCTACATTGAACTGGTATCCAGAAGTTAGCTAGAATAGAACACAGTAGTGGAAGCAGAAGAAGTAATACAAGCAACAAACGCTAGGTATCACTAAACTGGGGCTTCATGTCCAGTAGGTGATACGCTAGAGAAAATTTTGTAATAGCTTAGATGAGTTGTAAATATTGCTACTTGGTAATAAAATACTTAATTACCAAAAAAAAAAAAGTGATTAATCGAAAATCACTTAGCAATCATAAATAATACATGAGCCATATCTAAATAACATATGCGCGATGTATGATTTCACCATGATTTATGATTGTTTAATTTAAAAATTAGATAATGTATTGCGATTATTGTGAGCTATAGTAAATTTCATACTCTTTCCCTAGAAAATGATTCACGTTCCTATAACTGAGAACTAACTTAAGCAACTAAGAAATGAATAAGAAATCAGATACCTAATGAACCAATAATATGTTTATTATAGCATATGTTAACATCACTTTAGTCTAATGTTAATATTGTCCATATCGTTGAATATGATAGCGAGTTATTTAAACAAAATACAAACTTTGCCATTCACGTAATTAATCCAATTATGTCAACTCGAACATCCATAGCACTTATTCTTTTCTATGATGTTCGGACAATCTCGATAGATAATCGATCCGTCCCAAAATGGCATGGCATGGCTATTTTTACGGGTGATTATTGAAAAATAGCTAGTGTTTGCAAAGTTATTAAAAAGTAGCCACTATTTAAAGCGGAGATAAAATCTGGACAAAAATACCTTAGCTGAAACACGGAAAGTTCCAGCATAATATACTGGATGATGGAACTTCGGCGTATAAACAACATATTAAGTTGGAACTCCAGCATATTATGAATTCCAGCACATTATGCTGGAATCTCATATGTAAAAATTCGATTTTTTTCTTGATTTTAATGTATTTTTGTTCACATTTTATTTTCACGTGAAAAAAGTGACTAAATTTCGTTTACCTTTGAAACTATGGCTAATTTTCAATTAACAGTTCTAAATTAGGTTATTTCTGATTTTTTTTTCTTTAGCTTTATTCGCACCTGATTCACCAATATATAGAATTCGACCACATGACGTGTTCCTAAGAAAACATCATTTTTTTTCTCAATATAGGACATGGTCCTCTTTGAAAAAGGATGATATATGCAAAATATGATTACCCAAACGGATCACATTAGGTTTTTTTCTGTATCTTCTAAAGATCATATGCAGAATTGCAGATTACATAACCATGTAATCCAAGACTCATTCTACAACAAATTGTTGTGTACGTTTTCTTTGTTTCTACTTCAGCCCCAGAACTTTCTGTTAATTACAAATTGGTCCATACCAAAATTTCTACTTTTCTGCTCTAGTTATAACTACCCAAAACAACTCTATTGTCCTTTCCAACTGCTTCTTGAGGTAAGTCATCTGTTCTTCCCTCCTTTCCCCCAACTTTTCTAACATGCTAAAATTAATAAAAAAAAAAATCAATTTTTATATAATTATACTTAAACTTTCTTGCTAAATTAGCTTACTTATTTTTTATTTATTTATCTCCATTTCTATACTCAATGCAAAAGTTGTTTTCAAGATATTTGAAAAAACAGTATTTTGCTTCTTGTTACTATAACAATAATTTTTCTTGGAACTCATCATCTAACAGTAACAAAACCAACTTTTTTTCATATGCTTTCACTACCAAAAAAAAATTGGAATGAGCTACGAAATTCGTCGCTAAATTGCTCGTAGCTAACAGAATTTCTTGATAATCTGTTGCTAATCCGTTGCTAAATAGGATTAGTGACGGATTTTTCTGTTTAGCTACCGGTTTTGTCCGTCGCTAATTCCTATTTTTTTGGTAGTGTTTACTCTCCAATTCACTTCAATTCATGATCCTTTTCTTTTCCTTTCTTCTTTGCAGGTTTTTATGGTTTTGAGTTATAAATCCTTGCAATTTCAGACTATTGAACATTGAGGAACTAACTACTGTCATATTCTTCTAAATATAGAAAGAAGGAAAAATGCAGAAAGATCAAATACCAGAAGAGTTTGCTCTAAAGCAAACAGCTCCAAAAATAGTTGGATCAGGTGTGATGATTGGAGGAGATAAGGTAACAGTTGCCTATGACCTCGTCGAGCAGATGGAATATCTATATGTTCGCGTTGTCAAGGCTAAAGAGTTAACAAAGGATGTCACAGGGAGTTGTGATCCTTATGTTGAAGTTAAGGTTGGAAACTACAAGGGTATCACAAAGCATTTCGAGAAGAAAACCAACCCCGAATGGAATTATGTGTTCGCCTTTTCTCAGGATCGACTTCAGGCTTCTTACATTGAAGTTTGTCTGAAAGATAAGGATGTTGTGTTGGATGATTTGATCGGACGAGTCATATTTGATCTCGTTGATGTACCGAGAAGAGTTCCACCGGATAGTTCATTAGCCCCACAATGGTATAGATTGGAGGATAAACGAGGCGAAAAGTTGAAAAAAGGGGAGATTATGCTTGCTGTTTGGAAAGGAACTCAAGCGGACGAGGCGTTTTCTGATGCATGGCATTCAGATGCAGCAGCTGTAGGAAGTGAAGGAATTTCAAGAATTAGAGGGAAGGTATATTTATCCCCTAGACTTTGGTATATTAGAGTTAATGTTATTGAATGTCAAGATTTGATCCCAAGTGAAAAAAATCGCCAACCGGAATGTTGTGTGAAGGTTATATGTGGAAATCAGGCCTTGAAAACTAAAATTTCTCCAATAAAAAGTGTTAATCCAATGTGGAATGAGGATTTAGTTTTTGTAGTTGCTGAACCATTTGAAGATCCTTTAGTTATAAATGTAGAGGATAGAGTTGGATCAAATTTCGAGTTTTTAGGAAAGTGTGTGCTTCCTTTTAGCACTGTTCCTAAAAGGCTTGACAACAAACCTGTCGCGTCTAAATGGCACAATCTTGAGAAATATACAGTTGTAGAAGGGGAAAAAAAGGAGACTAAATTTGCTAGTAAGATTCATTTGAGGCTAAGTTTAGATGGTGGATATCACGTGTTGGATGAATCGATACATTACAGTAGCGATTTCAAGCCAACGTCAAAGCTTTTGTGGAAATCCTGCATTGGACTACTTGAATTAGGGATTATCAGTGCAACAGGACTGTCAGCTATGAAGTCCAAGGATGGTCGAGGAACAACAGATGCTTATTGTGTAGCTAAGTACGGGCCAAAATGGGTTCGTACAAGGACAATCATCGATAGTTTGTCACCAAAATGGAACGAGCAGTACACTTGGGAAGTACACGATCCTTGTACCGTGATGACAGTAGGGGTGTTCGATAACGGATATCTACAAGGGGGGAAATGTTCGAGTATTGGAAAGGTGAGGATTAGACTCTCTACCCTTGAAACCGAAAAGGTTTACACACATTCTTACCCTCTCATTGTCTTGCAACCCTCCGGTGTTAAAAAGATGGGAGAAGTACAATTAGCTGTGAGGTTTTTGTGTACGTCTTATGTCAATATGCTTGCTAAATATACTCAGCCATTGTTTCCAAAGATGCATTATGCTCATCCCTTGTCTATAAGTCAGCAGGATTTTCTGAGGTTTCAAACTACTCAAATACTATCGACGAGGTTAGGCCGAGCAGAACCACCATTGAACAAAGAGGTTGTGGAATATATGCTAGATGTTGGTTCACATATATGGAGCGTAAGGAGAGCTAAAGCTAATTTTTTCAGATTAATGTATGTTGTGAGTCCATTAATGGCTATTGGAAAATGGTTTGATCAAATATGTCATTGGAAAAATCCACTCACAACCATTCTGATTCACATACTCTTTGTTATATTAGTCCTTTACCCTGAACTAATAGTTCCAACATTCTTTCTTTACCTTTTTTTCATTGGTATTTGGCACTATAGATTGAAACCGAGACATCCTCCTCATATGGACATCCATCTTTCACATGCTCATGCTGTTTTTCCCGACGATTTGGATGAAGAATTCGATACGTTTCCAACAACCAGGGGTTCGGATAAGGTGAGAATGAGATATGATCGTTTGAGAAGCGTTGGAGGCAGGGTTCAGACCGTCATTGGAGACCTCGCGACTCAGGGGGAAAGGTTCCATTCCCTGTTGAGTTGGAGAGATCCAAGGGCGTCGGCTTTGTTTGTGGTGTTCTGTTTATTTGCTGCAATAGCCATGTATGTCACACCATTCCAAATCGTCGCACTTCTCACTGGATTCTATCTGTTAAGGCATCCGAGGTTTCGCCACAAACTTCCTTCATTGTCTACTAATTTCTTCAAAAGGCTGCCTGCAAGAGCAGACTGCATGTTGTAGACTTATAGCTTAGCAAATATTTGGTTTCTACTGACTTGAGAAGGTCGAAGGGGAGCCTTGGCGTAGCTGGTAAAGTTGCTTCCATATGACCGGGAGGTCACGGGTTCGAGCCGCGGAATCAACCTCTTATAGAAATGCAAGTTAAGGCTGCGTACAATAGACCCTTGTGGTCCGGCCCTTCCCTGGACCCCGCGCTTAGTGCACCGGGCTGCCCTACTGACTTGAGAAGGTAGAAAATGCAGCAAATGAAGATCACAAGGATTGTTCTGTCCTGTTATCTATTACTTACTTCTAGCTTATTAAATTTATCCTTTAGTAATTAGACTTCTCTCAAGCTATAAAATGTGTAATGTATTTATAAATCTGAATCTTTATTACTGTGTAGAAAATGAATATGCAACTGTCTATAACTGCGGACTTTAGTAGATCCATACAAGCAGCTTATCGTAAGATATGAATGTGCATTTCACCTAGTAAGTGCCGAGTCGCTATAATAAGTGATAGTTTCAGCGGCGAACTATATGTAGCTATTTTGAGTAGCGACCTGGCTTACAGATATTTGTGGCGCATTTGTTTACTTTATATGTCGAGCTTAGTCGCCACAAAAGCTAATTTATTTTATTATTGCCTTTTGGGGCGACTAAGCTTGCCACAAAAAGTAAATAAATGAATGCCGAATAAGTTTAAGGTAGGCTGCCCTAATAAAAAGCGACGTACCTTAAATCTATTTTGGTTTACTTTTTGGGTAGAGCTTAGTCGCCGCAAAAGTTAGTTTATTTTATTATTACATTTTGTGGCGGCAAAGCTCGCCACAAAAGTACACACAAAATTGATTTATGGTAGGTCGTCATTTTGAAAAGCTCGTCATTTTGATCCAATCATTTATTGAACTCAGTCAATCTTTACCTAACACAACTCAATCCATATCTTAGAAATAGTTCTTTTTTGTTTCATATATAAGTCTTTTTACTTTCGTTTGGGTCATGGCGGCCAGTGCTCCTAAGATCATAGAAGCAATGCTGCAGAAAAAGAAAATTTATCGCAATGTAGCTCCATAAGAACCATAAATAGAAACAACTACACAAGCAAGAAGGCATCGCCTGCGGCTTCCAATCCAATGACAAGCAAACGACGAAGAAGTAACTTACTATATTACCTCCTTGTGCCCATAGCTTACGCCTTCAAACCCGAAAAGGTCAGATTCGTGCAAAAAAGTAACATCTGAGATTTGTGAACAGACCGGCTTGGGACAGAGAAATCCGGATGAATACCACAAGTGGTGTTTCCAATTCAAAAATTTCTTGGAATTGATCAAACTTTTTCGATCCAAAGTGTTTCACGCCGGAATCCATCGTCTGTAGGATTCTTTCATAGAAATCGCAAAAGGGGTGTGTTGCTAAGCCGTATCCTATCTTGCTGGTAATAGATTGATTCTTGAATTCTTATTTAATAATAATACAGTCCATAAGAAAGCAACATATATTAATCAATGTTTAGTAAGAGTTGGGCGGGTTGGGATATGACACAAATTTTAGCATAGAAATGACACCACGTAGCCACTTTAAAAGGCCGCTATTTAAATTTTAGTTTTTCAGTTCAATTTTTCGGGACAAAATGTCATGACATATGCCAGCATTTGAGAAACAGAAAGTCTCTCCAAGAAGCTTTCACTGGCTGTTCCTTTGCATCAACATTGGAGAAAAAGGATACCACCAAAGTCACACTAGCAAGAACAACAAGTGAAAGTATTTTGCTTGCCTGCAATGTTTACTTCTGACTGCTGATCTTTTAGCCTTTCAATTATTGCATTAGGAAATACTAGTTAAATAGCAAGAATACCATATTCTGTAGGTTCATACTTTTCAACATAGTCTTGTTTTGTTTTTTAAGCAAATATCAGCTTAGGTTCTTCCTTGCTATGAAGGGACTCTTGTACCACCAAAGGATGTGGTGTAGAGGATGTGGTCGCTCTTCCCTTAACCAGAGGTCTCGGGTTCAAACCCTGGGTATGGATCCTTGGTAGGGAATACTTCCACCCAAGGCTCTATGCAGTGCGTATACGGATATAGTCGGGGTTCAATACAAGTATCGGACACCGGGTGGGAAACCAAGAAAAATGAAGGGACTTTTGTAAAGTAGGCTCAATGATCAAAGCTAATTAAGTTCATACATGTAAAGAAAATGTACTGAAGATTAGTGTTATGTAGAGGTGTCAAACGGACGGGTTGATCCGGGCCCGGCCCAGCCCAGATCGGTTGAAACCCGGCTCGGCCCGGCCCGATACTTAGGGGGCCGGGGTGGGCTGGGTTACTGGGATTAGGGGGGTTGGTCCGATCACTTTAATTCCTCCGGTTAACCGGACCGGTCAAACCTGGTCAACCAAAATCCCTGTAGAACCGATTAACCGGCCCGACCCGGACCGGTTTAAAGGCTAGATTTCAATTTTTTTTTTTTTAAAAAGTTTTAGAGTCTAAGGCAATGCAAAACCTTTGAATTCACTCTTTTTTTGTTAATTTACTTGTTGTTAAATGTAAACCTTTCAATTTGTAAGTTTGAATTTTGAAATAAATGTAGCACTTGCAATTTATAAGTGCAATTTTTTCCCATCTTCATTGTATTCTTTATATTTTTACTTTATATTAATATAAATTACAATAGTTATACAAAATACAAAAATACAAAAAAAAAAAACACTAACCCGGCCCGGCCCGGCCCCTTGGACCCGTAACCTTTACGGTTCATTTTTTACCCGGATGAACCCGAACCCGTTAAGCCCGGTAACCCCTAACCCGTAACCGGCCCGGTTCGAGACCCGGACGGTTTCAATTTTTCCCTACCCAGCCGATCCGGCCCACCCGTTAGACACTCTTAGTGTTATGTATTCTGAAATTGCTTATATATTTAAACTCCAATACTCCACTCGGGAATGCCCTTAGTGATAGACAAGAAAAATAATAAAATAAGAGTTCTGATACCTATTTTTTTGTTGAATTTAGGGTTCACTTTCAATTTACTAGATTTTTTCTTTTATTGTTGTTATAGGCAGAGATTAGTCAACAGTTAAACAATTGAATTTTCCAACATATTTGAATGTTCTATCATGACAATAGTTGATTGACTAGTTGTTTCCATCTTTCTAGACTGTGGAGTTGACCTAGTCAATAGTCTAAAATCCTCTCTATCTCTCTCTTTAAATTTAAGAAAGGGTGTATTTATATGAATAATTTTACCAGATATAGGTTAAAAATGCACTAAAACTCTAACTCCTTTCTTGAATCACCACAATTGTTGTGGTTTTATAGTACAAATGTCTACGTCGTGTCAATTGAAATCTCCTTCATCAAAAAATTATATTACGGTAAAAATTAATTTTCTTGGTTATATATAAACTTTTTTATATTAATAAATAATGTAATGACAAATAAGAAATTTACGCCACATGTTTTAATCTAACTGTGACACTTTTGTATTTTTTAAATTTTCTTATATAAATTCTTGACTATGTAACTGCGTGTCAGACATGAAATGAAGACTTCAAGACTTCCTATAACTTTGGGTTTGAAAAATATTTTTTCCTATATAACTTTGAGGGACCGGCAAAGGGAAAATACACAAAATAGTATTTTATTTCCTCAGTTCATTTTTACTTGTCATGTATAGTCAAATTACATAAACTTTGACCACCGTTTTAACATATACTTTTTCACCATATTGATATGGGAAAAATTACAAAATAATGTACTTTTTGTATAGTTTTCGAATATCTAAATTTTAAGTTTAAAATATTAAAAAATCTGATGCAATTTTGCTTAAAAAATTAGTTAAATTGACTCTCGAAAAACGAAATGTGACAAGTAAAAGTGAACGGAGGGAGAGTAATTAGCACTCGTCAATGCAGTACAGCTAATAGAAAGGACACAAGACATTAACTTACCAGGAAAAGTAGAAGTTGAGTCTGAAGTCTTTGTAGTTGATCCAAAACTCACACTACAAATTAACAAATATAAATAGCCCCGTTATTATTAACTCTTAACTCCTTTCTTGAATCACCACAATTGTTGTGGTTTTATAGTACAAAGGTCTAGGTCGCGTCAATTGAAATCTCCTTCGTTAAAATATTATAATAGGGTAAAAATTAATATTCTTTGTTATATATAAGCTTTTTTATATTAATAAATAATGAAATGTCAAATAAGTTCAAAAATGATTTTAGGCCACATGTTTATATCTAACTGTGACACTTTAGTATTTTCTAAATTTTCTTATATAAATTCTTGGCTCTGTTATTGCGTGTCGACATGAAATGACGACCCCCTTTCTTCTTTCTTTTTTTTTTTTTTTTTTTTTTTTTTTACAAAGAGGAGATTATATATTAAAGCTACGGAATATTGTTTGTTACATCACCCCGAAAATAACAACCTCAAGGGCATTTATATTGCCCCAGTTGGCTAGCCTACCACATACATCAGTAGTAATAGTCTTAACAAAATAAGCACATTTCGCCCTATCTGTTGCCAGATTATTTATTACATAAGAGGGCGGTTTGTCTAGGAGTTGATAATTCCTTCCATCTTTAAGAGCTTCCCTTGCCAGCTTATGGGCTACTTTGTTTCCTTCCCTGAAGTTATGAATTATTGTCGGCTGCTTCAGCTGGAGCATTAACGACCTGCATGTGCATATGATTAAATCGTGAGAAACACACCCAGAGTTAATAAGATTGATTACCTTTGTTGCGTCTGTTTCAATGATCAAAGGAGTGTAACCCTTCGTCAGGGCTATGTTGAGACCTTCCTTGAGTGCTAGTAATTCAGCCTGAATAGGTGAGGTTGCTGGGCATTGGTATTGGAAGCCAATTATCCAGCTGCTTTGTGATCTCTGAATAAACCTCCTAAACCCCGTAATTTATCCTTTTCTTTGAACGCCCCGTCTATATTGAGTTTGTAGAAATTTGGATGTGGCTTGTGCCATGCAACTTTTATTGCATGGGAAGGAACAGTAATTTGTTCCTTTTTAGTGAGTAACTTGTACTTAGTTGCTAAAGCTATAGCGTGCATTGGATTAAAGCTGTGACTTGTGTTAGAGTGATTGTTATTATTTCGGTTGAGCCATATGCTCCATAAGATAAAAGGATATATATCTTTCCATTTGAGGTGAGGGGTGGAAGTGGTGATATCTAAGTTATTAATGTTGTCCAACCAATGGGACATGTTATGGATATGGGAGGCTTTAAAACCACTTATGTTCTCGTAATCTCGGACTGCTTTACAATCGATAAAAATATGTTAAATTGTTTCCTTATCATTTTTACAAACCGGACATGTAGGATCTATATTTATGCCAATGTGGTAGAGGTAGGATCTATTGGGGAGTTTATTGTGACGAC